AGACAACATCGAAAAAGAAGGAAAGGAAAGGGAAAGTCTTTTTGAAAGCATTTCAACCTTATTTAAAGAAAAAGAAAAAAAAATAAACAACTGTCTGACCTTAAATGATCTCTTGCTGATCGACAGGTCGTTAAGTTTTAAACAAACAAACAAACAAAACATCCTTAGCTAACACTCAAAGAATCCGACCAGATCCTGATGACAATAGTCTCCATATCGCAATATTCCCTCCATACGCGACGCACACGCCACTATTTTTGGCAAGGCTAACAACGTCAGAAACACTATTCGTTTCACCGCATACACGGGGGCGATACATTATCGCACGCTTATGCGATATCGATGGACACGGGATGTTTTGGATAAATACCAACCGTCAATTTGCCGAAATAATCTTAGAACGGATTCAATTGATTACAATGGTAGGTGTGCGAATACGTTTCCTCTGGACCAATTTTGAACCGATGACACCCGGGGAAACCCGCCCATCCCCCCACTGAAAGCTATGTCAGTGAGCCATAGCACATTCCGAATAAGTCACCAGGTAAGTAGAAACTCAGGGTTGCTGGGAGCCTCAGACCACTGAGAGCGCAATTCGGTTGCCGAAAAGCCGCACCGCCTGGATCCTTCGTGACTCCCTCCACTAATTCCCGATAAAGAAACCCCTAGGCCGTGTAAGGCCATTGGATCGCGGAATTACCTACAAGACCGCACGACATTCTCTGAAGAATATCGACTGATTGTTGGGATTATAGGAGCGATCAGCGTTAGAAACACACCCTTTCAAAATTGAGTCCTTTTTCGACGTGCGGCCTAGGAAAGCGAACCTCGAGGCGTGTCGATGACTCGCCATGTTTGGCATTCCCAGCTCCTGTGACACGGACGTTAAGCACAGACCTATCTTCAGACCTGATGCTTGCAACCAACCAACAAGAGGGAGTATAGCACTCTTCGTCAGAGATTTATAGTTTTCCTACACGCGAGCTAAATGCTTACAGACTCAAATAATATAAACTGCCTACTGTTACCTGTTTGTGAATCAAGTAAATCCGTGTACACGCACATATAAATGGCCAATATTTACCTATCCACCAACCAAAAAATAATTAAATACGTCACTCATTTATGCTGCAACCAATTAAAAGCTAATGAATTCAGATACGGATTTTAAAGCCTAATTTCGATATTAAATAATCCAGTAAAAGTTTTACACTAACCTTTCATATATAGAGTCGGGCAAAAAATATGGCGATTAAAAGAGACATTTAATCGAAGAGCGCCATCTTACGTTTCTTGCATAGAGGGAGTACAGACAACAGGGAAGACATAACTGGCGCACGCCTCAATCATGCCCTTAAAGATAACCGTCTTTGTACTAAAATTCCGGGCCGCTGCTTCAACTTTTACCTGTAGCTCCGACCAGGTCTTATTTAATTTGAGGGCCTGCATGAATTATACTCAAAGAATGAATTCAGGTCCCTCAGTCAAAATAAATAGCCCCGGTATAAGTCCCCTTCCAGAAACTTAATCTTGGCCCCCATCACCTTCTCCTACCTTTTAAGTATGTGTAAGCCGCTCGCATCAAGACTATTATTTGAAAGTTTTAGAATATATATATATATATATATATATATATATATATACGGATTCTAAAACTTTCAAATAATATATATATATATTTATATTTCAAATAATATATATATATATATATATATATATATATATATATATATATACTCTTTCAGAGATAGGGCGTGTGTAAACATAAAAGTAAACATTGAAGTCAAAACTTAGAGGCTACAGGCTGATTCATGCTACACGCAATCATCGCCTGACGATTGCGTCTAGCATGAAACAGCCTGTCGCCTCTAAGTGTTGACTTCAATGTTCACTATATATATATATATATATATATATATATATATATATATATATATATATAATTTCCTTCAATTTGCAGATGGACAGCTGTAATTATATATGAACGGCTGCAATTATATATATATATATATATATATATATATATATATATATATATAGTGATTACAGCCGTACATCTGCAAATTGATGAGATTCTTATTGGATCTTGGAGTGATTCCACTGTGTTTTGATTTATATACACTGGTATATCTTTAAAATATTTGTAAATACTAATGTTAATAACATTTAATTGGCAGCAGGGAGCACAGCGTTCTCGATCGATATCTAAAAGAACAGAAAATAAAATTTTTCCTTTTTCCTCTTTATTTATTTTACATTCATTACCATTTTCGGTTACGTTAATGAAAATATTTTGTTGGAACCCCTTGCTCTTCGATTAAATGTCTCTTTTAATCGCCATATTTTTTGCCCGACTCTCTATATGAAAGGTTAGTGTAAAACTATTACTGGATTATTTAATATCGAAATTAGGCTTTAAAATATCTGAATTCATTAGCTTTTAATTGGTTGCAGCATAAATGAATGGCTTATTTAATTATTTCTTTGGTTGGTGGATAGGTAAATATAGGCCATTTATATGTGTGTGTACAAAGATTTACTTGATTCACAAACAGGTAAAAGTAGGCAGTTTATATTATTTGAGTCTGGAAGCATTTCGCTCGCGTGTAGGAAAACTATTGAGCACCGTCGTTGAGTCTATAAACAATTCATTCTTGTATGGTTACATATTAGCCGTTTATATTTACGTCTGTAAGCATTCATATTCTTCGGTGATAAGAAAATATTAGTCGTTTATTTCTAATTCTATTTGTTCTTATTTGCTCCGTTAATTGATCGTTTCGATTTGAGATTGTAACAATTTGCTTGATCGGAAATAATGTGCGTAAGTATTTAGCTATGTGGTAGGTGGCTTTTTTGTGGGTTTTACTTCAGATGATGCAACTGACAGCTGATGCAACCGGTGTATTCTACGCCCTACCGATATTGTCTACTCTGGAAAACTTGAAACATCAAAGGATGAGAAATATAAAAGAAATAATAGCACGCCGATCATTTGTGAACATCTATGCTGATGGTACAACAGTATATGATTACACCTCCAAAACTAGCGATGACTTGAGATTGGCAGCTGATCACATGCCTGATCCAGCTCACGCAGCTCAGTCGGCGAAAAACTGTCTGCTTACATTCAATGCCACACAAACCAAACTAGTGACATTACACTCTCGCTGATCGGACCAACAATTTTCACCAGTCGTGAGGAACGGACGTCCCCTTAGGGAGGCCTCTTCCTTGAGCGCGTATTACATCTTAAACGTAACCCTTAAACGTAACTATCTTCTACCATTACAAGAGCCGGGTCTGTAAACAGTCTCACAAAATGTTTAGTATCTAAAAAACACTAAATTCATTAAGTTTCTATTTTCCACGTTTTCAGATAAGACATTTAGGCATCTTGACACGACTTGACATATGAATCATTTAAAAACTGTTTCAGTTTTCTCATCTATAATTATAAAATTATAAAATCGTTTCGATATTTCCCAACCGAACAATGGCAAGAGGAAAAGGATGATTCACGTCTTTAATAAAGGTAAGAACATTCATACTGAGGCTTCAATTTTCAAGGTCCGTTCAAGAGTCATCATAGAAATGAGAAAAGTTTTTTTTTTTTTTTTTTTAAATGAAATCGTGAAGACAAAACTGGATCAGGTGGTTACAACAGGGTTCGCTATTTTAATGTAGAGTTAAATATGTATTGTTCAAAGTTGAGCCCAATAGTATTATAAAATCATCAGAGAATTTCAGTAAGATATCTTTTAAATCACATCTATGATACAACGGTTCAAAGCTTAATCTAACAATTTGACACATTTGCTTTTTGCCTCCGGTATATATATATATATATATATATATATATATATATATATATATATATATATATATATTTATATGGGGAGTGTGGGTGTGTTTAAGAGAAATAACGCAATCGTCTCCCATTTTGAAAATCTCAATACATGAACAAGACTGTTAATGATTGATTAATATATATATATATATATATATATATATATGTATATATATATATATAAAGAATAATCGCACATAAAATTAATCAGAAGTATTAATGCGATTATTGGCGACATCCAACGCTAGAAAACATAATATATGCATTAAAATCCTGTTCATCCATAGTGCGAGTTTTGATCCTTGACGAAAAACTTGTTGTCTGTAGTTTTTCAGTTTATTTGATGTTAAAATGCTAGTAAAAAGAAAAAACAAATTTCGTTTGATGATGGAACAGAGCTTACTTTAACTCAATTTAATTCAAATAATTATATTGAATTTTTCGGCTCTTGTTTTGAAACATGAGACCTCTTATGTCGCGAGTTGGAATCATATTTTTAAATTAATAATTATTTATATATATATATATATATAGTTATGTGATATATGTGTGTGTGTATGTTTGGGTGTATGTATGTGTATTCATGCGGACGAGAAAGAATAGAAATTCATATGCAAACCTTTTTTTTTTTTGCTTACCTGAACCTAAACCTTCCTTATTGTGGGGCAATTATGTGATTTGAAACACAAAAGCATTGGCCTTTTTTCGTGTTTACTCCTACACACAGACACTTCGCCTTTTGCTGGATACAATACTTTTGTATCCAACGTAATTTGCGTCCTGCACATCTGTACTTGAAAGCGAAATAAAATTGTATGAAAATCAAATTTTTCTTATCTGAACACACGGCCTTAGTAATTAACATCGTGAAATTAGTGGCATGATTTATATGAAGAAAAAGCAATTGTTGATTGATGCGTATCTCTTTGCATATAAAGGAAATTTCACTTATGTTACATGAATATTTATCGCATGCTAATATCTTCTGACACTGAACAGGCATAGAAATACACCATTTTGTTCTGTATTGTGTTACGTAATAGGGTTATTTCTCGCTTTTATCAGAATCAGAATGTATGTGTTATTATTTCTTATTTCATATAAGGAAAACATTCCTCTGATAAAAAGTGACGATATAAAAAATCTAAATTTACAAAACGAAAGAAAAGAAATAGGACAAAAGAAATATAAAAATGACATAGTAGTAAAGAAGAAAGAAAGAAAGAAAGAAAGAAAGAAAGAAAGAAAGAATGAAAGAAAGAAAAAAGAAAGAAGGAAAGTAAGAACGAAAGTTAAAGAAATAAAGTTTCTGAAAGAAAGAGAGAAAAAAGAAAGGAAGGAAGGAGGAAATAAAGAAAGGAAGGAAGGATGTTGCAGAAGGAGAGAAAGCGAGAAAGCTACAGAAATAAAAAAGGAAGATGCAGAAAGAAAAAAGTTACAGAAATAAAGAAAGTAAAGAAGTTTCAGAAAGAAAGAAAGAAAGAAAGAAAGAAAGAAAGAATGAAAGAAAAAAGAAAGTTACAGAAAGAATGAGACGAAGAAAGAAAGAAAATTACCGAAAGAAAGAAAAGAAGAAATAAAAAAGAAATAAACAAAATTAAAGGAAGAAAGAAAGAAAGTTACAGAAAAATAAAACAAGAAAGAATGTTATAGAAAAAGAAACTGAAGTAAAATATAGACAAAAGACAGCCGAAAATTAGAGAAAATATATGGCGGAAAGTATTAAATAAAAAGGAAAAATAAAAACAAAAGAAAAGATAAGAAGAAACCAAGGAAAATAGAAGGAATAAAGAGAAGAAAATATGAGAGAAAAAAAAATGAAAGTAAAGAAAATGGCAAAAGAAAGAAAATAATGGAAAAAAGAAAAAAATGTAACCTAAATAACGAGATGAGTGGAATTCTAAAATGAAAGAAGAGGGGAAAATTAAAGAACAAGTTAGAAAGAAAACAAAGAAAAGATGACGAAGTGGGAAAAAGTAAAAGACAAAAGAAGAAAAAAACATACTAAAAAGAAAAAAGAAGTGACAAAAACTAATGAAAAAGTAGGCATTAGATTAAACAGAGAAGAAATAAAGGAAGTAGAAAAAGAAAATACGTAAAGAAATAAGAATTAGAGAAGGAAAGATTAATGATGAAAAGAAAAAGATAGAATGTTGATAAATCATTGTAAATATACGAAATGAAAAGTGAATAAAAAAGCCGATAAAAACAACAAATAAGTAAAAAAAAATTGAGGGGAAACTGAAATAGACCTCAAAGCTAACGCTGAAAAAGAGATATAAAACAAATATTAAGACAAAAGATGTTTAAAAATAAAATTGTAAGGTAGAAGAGATAGAGAATTGAAAAGAGGGATAAGGACGAATGTATGACATTTTACGCAAGGAATGTTTGAAATGATAACAAGAGATAGAGACTGATGATTAAATTTTCGAAAGAAAAGAAAAAGTTGAAATAACATATAAGTAGAGAAATGAAAGAAAAAATAGACGAACAAAAGGATATAAACACAGCTGTTATGTAAGGAAGATCAAACATGAGAGAAAAAACATGAACAAAGAATTAAAAAAAAAACTATAAAGGAAAATGAAAAAAAATGCCTGTAGAATATATTAATGTAATGAAATAAGAAATATCTAAAAGAAACATTTTAAAAGATAAAAAAAAACATGAAAGTCATCTAGAGAGAACGTAATTAGCCGAAAACGCGAAAAAGAAAATCGAGTGAAAATGAAAGATTAACTAAAAAAAAAAATGGAAGTCGATATATTTTTAATGAAGGAAAAAGCTATATATATATATATATATATATATATATATATATATATATATATATACGAGTCGAACTGAAATAAGAGAACTAAAAAAAAAAAAAAAAACGTCTGTAGTTCAAGATGAACTTAACCATCTAGAAGGTAATCGATAACGATGCCAGTTCGATTAATATCGTTTTAGAACATGTCTATGTCACGTGATGTAAATTGGAAATTATGCAAAAATTAACCAATGCAAGGAATCAACATATTTTTTGTTGTTGTTTATTTTTAAAGTTCCTTGCTTTATTTTTACGTAATTACATTGCACTGAATTTTTTGGGAGCCAATGAAAATAAAAACGATGTAGTATTAGCAACAAGTTTATTTTAGATGGGAAAACATGGCTGAGATTAGGTGATTATTCAAGATAGCAGTAGAAATACATAGAATAATAAAGAAATTAACCATTCATATAACTGATTCAGGTTCAGGTATTCAGACATTAGTTCCATTTCATCCTCAAGCGAATTCGCTTGAGGATGAAATGGAACTAATGTCTTTCATTTAATTACAAATTAAATTCGGGGCTTTTAGCTTCCATTTTTGAAACATGGTTAGAACTGTGTAGCGAAAAAAAACATATTTTAAATCAATTAATTTATAATATTAATGCTCTGTAAATTTACATCGAGCACTATTTTGTAAAATTAAAAAATATCCATAGGAACACCGGATTATATATCTTACTGTTCTTTTATATATATATATATATATATATATATATATATATATATATATATATATATATATATACATACACGTGTGTGTGTGTGTATGTGTGTGTGTACCGTCATGCACAGACAGACTGTTTCGTTGTATCACAGCTCATTTAGA